ATTAATCATCATAACTAGGTGACCAAATTGCTCGGGGGACTTGCTAATTATATATTAGGCAGCCTTTCACCTGTAGATCACAAGTTCAAATCCACCCTCAGTCAGGTATTTGTCGTGATGGCTGTTTGGGATTCTCAGTTTATTTCTCTTAAGACGGGTGGCCTCCCAATAAAAAGCAGTACTACGGCAGTCTCAGCAGAACCCTAAGGATTGAATGGGCCATGGAATCTGAACTACTGTCTCAGCCCAGGAGGTGATCCTTTGAGCTTCACTTGGCAGGGTGGTGTGAGGGAGCTTGAACTATCGCTGATGGTGATAGACCATTCTGTGGAACAGGAACACTCTGCCACCCAAGGTAACATTTACATTTAAACCACGCTATGTTGATACTGTCCGTGAAGGCCACCCCATCCAATCTGACTATGAATGACTTCTGCTTTTCATCTGATCCTTAGAAGACTTTTTGCCATGGTGCAGTTATATCCCTTACCAAGGGAAGCACCAGAGTTCACAGGATTAGTTAATCCTTTCACAGGCTGGCATTACCAGTTCTGGGATTTCTCCAACAGCTCAAGGGAAGTTCATCACTATTAGACTTGTCACCTGTTTGACAACTTTCTGGTTTGGGTCTTGGAAAGGCCCATTTTGGAAATCACTTCCCTTTGTTTCCCAGATATGTTTTGGAAACTTCTCAGACTTCTCTTTATTGATGGCAGATGTGACAGGTTGAGTCACAGAAACCCCCTTGGGACTGCCACCTGATGTGCTGAGACTACCTCTAAGCCCCTTTTCCCTGGCAACTTGGGACTTAAGTGCCCTGCCTAGTTGTGCCAGACACGCTACCCTGCTACAAACACAGACCCAGAACTGAACCACGTCCCCCAAAAGCAGCAGACTTAACTGAAAACAGCTTAAGAAGTGCTTCTGTCTCCAACACCCAGACACCCAGTTCCTAATGGGAGCCAAACCCTAAATAAATCCGTTTTACTCTGTATAAAGCTTATACAGGGTAAACTCATAAATTGTTCACCCTCTATAACACTGATAGAGCAATATGAACAGTTGTTTGATCCCCCAGGTATTAATACTTGCTCTGGGTGAATTAATAAGTAAAAAGTGATTTTATTAAATATAAAAAGTAGGATTTAAGTGGTTCCAAGTAATAACAGACAGAACAAAGTAAATTACCAAGCAAAATAAAATAAAACACGCAAGTCTAAGCCTAATACAGTAAGAAACTGAATGCGGGTAAATCATCCTCAGAGATGTTCCAATAAGCTTCTTTTACAGACTAGACTTCCTCCTAGTCTGGGTCCAGATATGTGTTTCACTTGTGCAGATATGTGTTTCACTCACACCCCTGTAGTTACTGTCCTTTGTTCCAGTTTCTTTCAGGCATCTCTTTGAGGTGGAAAGGCTTTCTCTTGAGCCATCTGAAGACAAAATGGAGGGGTTTCCAGGAGCTTATATAGTCTCTCTCGTGGGTGGAAACCCCTCTCTCCCCCATGTAGAATCACAGCTACAAGATGAGTTTTGGAATCACATGGGCAAGTCACATGTCCACGCATGACTCAGTTCTCTACAGGCAGACGCTATTGCCCACATGTTAGCCTGAACGTTCCCAGGAAAGCTCAGATGTGGATTGGCGTCTGTCAAGGTCCATTGTTAGCCAAGTACTCCCAATTACTTGAATAACCCCTTGACACTATGATGACCAAATCTGCCTTAGGTGCTTCCTACAGCAAACACTTTAAATACAAGCATAGAGCCAACACTCATAACTTCGGATATAAAAATGGTACATGCATACGAATAGGATGCATACATTCAGTAGAACATAACCTTTGCAAAGATATGTTACATGGCATATCTAGCATAAAACATATTCCAGTTACACCTCTTCCCCGATATAACGCAACCCAATGTAACACGAATTCGGATATAACGCGGTAAAGCAGTGCTCCAGGGGGCGGGGCTGCGTGCTCCAGCAGATCAAAGCAAGTTTGATATAACACAGTTTCACCCATAACGTGGTAAGATTTTTTGGCTCCTGAGGACAGCGTTATATCGGGGTAGAGGTGTATGTCATATTTACACTCATAAGCATATATCTATAAAGCATTATGGGGTGCAATGTCACAGCAGGATTCAGACAAATTTCTTGTATGGAACCTACCTGAGCAGAGGTACAATGTGGGTGCTGGCTGCTTCTTGGAGAATTGACTTTTTCAAGTCTTTCACAATGTTAACAAAGTTGGCAAAGGTTGAGTGCGCAGTTGCTGTAGAGGAGACTGACCTGTCTGAGCAAATACAATGAATTATGTAAGTGGCAAGGTGGTGTTATCTGGGTTGTCTCTTCTGTCAGCCACAGAGCATAGAGGTCAGATCAGCAGATAATGCTGAATAGAGCAATATCTCAAACTTGTGCAGATATGTGTTTCCTGCAGAAGTAAAAAACCAGAATGATTTTTGAACATTTGCTCTTAAGAAGGATTGACAACTGAATGATGGGGTACAAGACAATGGTAGCCTGTAAAAGGTCAGCATTTGCCAAAAGTCATCTGACATTGGTATCTGAGATACTACAGTTTTTCTTTACACTTAGAAGAGGAAACAGTTTAGTATATATATAGGCAAATATTGATATTTTAGCCACTGTACATTTGCATTCTCACATTTACTAGTTTGCATTGGTTTTGTGCCCTCGCAATTTCTTGTGGGTACTTTCCAGCATATCTTTGTCCAGACGAGAAACTAGAACCCATTTTTCAAGAAACTCTGTGCTATTCATAGGGATTTCTCAAGTAGAGTTTGTGGTCCTGTTTTAACTCAAGTTAATTGATTGCTAGTTAACTAACTCGATTGTAAATGCTAGTCTAGACACTCCACAAATGTTTGTTCCAGGACACACACATTTGTGGTTCACCCGCTGGCTCAGCCTGGCAATTAACATGAGTTAAAACATGACCACAAATTCTAGTCTAGACATACTCATCTAGGTTCTTAAGCAGTGTCTATCACTGTGGTATGTGAGTGGAGAAATGCTGTGGGAAAATGCTTGCTAACCAGGTCTAAAGCAGTGTCAGTTGCATCACAATCTCGTCTTTCACTGGAGATAGTTCATTATCAAATCACTTCACCTGTGATGGTCACCAGGCTCCAGAATGAAGTTTCTTGCCTGTTCTGAATGGCTTCTAAATATCACTATAGTTTTTCCTTACTAACTAATCACAAATTTCAGAGTGGTATCCCTGTTAGTCTGTATCAGCAAAAAGAACGAGGAGTACTTGTGGCACCTTAGTGACTAACAAATTTATTTGGGCATAAGCTTTCATGGGCTAAAACCCACTTCATCAGATGCATGGAGTGGAAAATACAGTAGGAAGATATATATATACAGAGAACATGAAAAGATGGGGGTTGCCATACCAACTGTAACGATGCACCAGTTTTACACCAGTGTAACTCTATTGACTTAAATAGACTCCAGCTTTACACCAGTGTGAAGGAGAATAAGATCCCTAGTTATTACTCAAGGGGAGGTTTCTTGCTATCTCACCATCAATTACTGTCCTAGTGATTGTTCTTTCCCCCCCGCCTCTGTGTCATGGATGTGCGCCTAGCCCATCTTCATAGGGATTGAAAGTCATCCACAAAATGGCTATGATTTAGCCTATCTGAAATGCGCTTCAGTGAAATGTGGTTTCAGTCCATATCTCAATGGAGGAGCATCCACATAACAACTCAACAATGAGGCCGAAGACTGAATGGGCCATGGGGAGTGAATGACATTGCCTGTGCTGCTGTGGCCTGCGCTGTACCTGTTTTGTAGGGGTGTAGAGAGTTTCAGTCTCCAAGGCTGTCGGCTGGACGCCTTTCAACAGCATGCCAATTAACTTCAAAGAAAAGCCCAGGCTAGCAAGAAATTGCTATGTGCAAGTGTCTGTGTATCAGATGTTTCCATGAGTGTCAAGAACCCAAAACAGGAGGAGGAGCAACTTCAGATAATTATGCTGAAAATGATATTTGGGGGGAGAGGGTATAGCAAACTCGCATTTTTTTCAGGAAGGAAAAATTGCTGTTTAGAGGGTAGTCGGTGAGCGTATTAACTGGCGTTTCACATCACGCAGACTGTCTTACAATGGTAACAGGGGCAATATATCTGAGAGGCTTTTACATATAAAAATAAAAATAACAAGTGTTCACGCTCTCGCTCTGTTTTTCCTTCCTAACCTGTAGGAGAAGCGGAAGCAGCCTGATTGAATATTATAGAATATTTGTAACGTTCTTATTTATTTGGGGGGAGGGATTGCTGTGATTCTATAAAAGTAAGTTCCACAGTTGAGCTCCAGTTCTTGCGATCACTTCATCGCCCATGCTCACCCGTCTCCCCCTATTGGTCTGCAGTTTCATTGTCCCAGTGGGACATAGCCACCAGAGGAGGTCGTGGAGGGGGGAGCCAATCTCTCAGGTGGCTGGGTCCAATCCCAGTGAGGGTTTTGAATAATAGGACATAGGCCTCAAATTGGCCCCTGCTCAGTGAGGAACCAGTGCAAAGAGTGGATCACCGTGGTGATGTGCTAACAAGCAACCTGTGTTGCTATGACAACAAAAAGCTACATTTTGCACCAGACGGGAATTGTTTAAACAATGGTGCCTTGTGCAGCCATTTCTCCCCCCTGCTCCTCTCTCCATATGCATTTACCCACAGGGCTGCTCAGTGAAACTGTACCATTGTGGGGTATTTATATTTTAAGGCAATTATATGAGATGAATAAACGTAGCCAGCTGGGACAATTCTGCTCCGAGTGTGGTATTGGAGGAAAACATTACTACGCTGCCTTTAAAAGAAAGAAAGGGAAGAAAGGAGAGCCCAGTGCATGTCGTTAAGGAGGAACAGATGCACACCCATAGCAGCCAGCCAGCTGGGTCGGGTCATATCAGATATTGTGGTGGTTTTCTTGTAGTCTGATCCCCCTTTTCAACTCTCTCTCTTTCAGCAATGAAATTGTAAAGACTGACTTGAAGAAGCTTCCAGCCCTTCCAACGCAAGCCCTGAAGGAGCACCCTTCCCTTGCTTACTGGTAACCTGTCTATCCATGTAATTGTCTCATCCACTGTGAGGCAGCCCTGGCTAGCTACCAGCGAACAGATCTGAAATCCAGGACCGCTTGAGTTCTAGTCCTGGCTCTGCCATTAACTTACAGTGTGATCTTGGGCAAGTCGCTTTCACCACTCTGTGCCTCAGTTTCCCCATCTGTCAGATAGATACAATACTACTCCCCAGCCTGAAGGAGAGGTCTGAGACCCAAATGCTGCTTGCCTTACTCATGCAAGTCGGCCCCACTGAAGTCAGTAGGCCTGATTCTCCACGTGTACCTTATGCAGCTACTTGCACCTGTGCAACGTGGATGTAGAGTGCTTCCAGTTTGGTACGGTAGCATCTTATACCCACCTTACACTCTTTTTGCACAGGCGTAAATGGCTACCCAGGGTGTAAAGCAGTGGAGAGCGGGGCCCTGTGGGACTGCAGGTGTGGGGAAGGTGAGCAGGATTGAGCCCATAAGCAAGAAGGAATCGTTGGGCCTGATTCTGCAAATCCTGTCTGCATGGAATACCCAACGCCAAAGGGTCTGATTCTCGTCCTGTATAGGCAGGGGCTGTCCATTTGTGGAAGGCTGCATTTCAGACCCAGCGCCCGGACAGCGCTCAGAACATATTAAGCACTACGTAGGTGCTAAGTGCTGCATTACGTTTTCCTCCTCCTATGTTATTGCGTTGAAAACAAAATCTGTTGGTGCGTCAGAGTAGACACAGCACCCCATTTACCGCTCACCCCACCACCACCATAGCTTCTTTGTCTGCCTCTCCCAGCCTTTTCAGCACTGCAGATAGGAATTAGTTGGAGGAAAGGCCGTTTGAGCCTGGGGCGAGGGATTGATTTGCTTTTCTGTTTGTGAGTCTTTCATGTTTATCTTTAAAGAATGGGCTCCACAAACCTGGCAGTGGGAGGATAGTTCTCTTATCTGCTACTCCTTTAGTTTCTGCAGCCTGGTAATTTGATGATGGCAGGGAATATGGATTTCGTTTTCTGATTTGTGGTCCCCCCTGGAGATCCTATCCATTTCTCTTAGCAGGGCTACATCACCGGAACTAGCTGTAACTGGTGCACAGCTGAACAAGAGCTAATCTGCAAAGCTGCTAAACATTTTCTGAGCTCATCGGAAGAGGTTTGAAGAGTCCCAGACTGTAATTCAGAATCCTAGGCTGGGGCACAGGCAGATCACCAGTATTTCTGTCTCTGACCCAGCACACTGAACCTTCTTGAAAACCTGAAAAATGTAGCCGAAGATGCCCACCACCCACTGCTTCTTTCATGGGCTGGCTGGGCTCATGTGCGAAGTGTGGGGGAGGGAACCGCTGAGGAGCCGACTGTTTCCTTTGGCCAAGCGTTTGGTCTCCTCTCCAGGGTGAGACCTGACCTACCCTCCAATACACCCACACATTCCGCCTCTTGGTGGGGTCTCTTTCCTTTTCCAGAGTAAACTGGACAGCTCATTGACCACTCAGAGTCCATTGCCCGTCCTCGCCAAGCCTGATCATCATTGCCCCTCAATCCATCAGCACAGAGCCCTGGGTCCCAGCTTTCCCCAGTCCATTGGATTTTGGTCCAGCCATGGATTTTGCTTTTTCTCATGTACACAGTATGTGTGCAGCCAGCCGCGGAGCTCTCACACACACCCCTAGATCTGGCCAAACTCCTGGCTCAGTGCAAGAGACTTTAACAACAAAGGCCTGGTAACCTATTTCCTCCTATGCACATGCCCTTGGTCTGGAACTTGGATTGAGTCACGTTGGTCAAGCCAGAGAATCTGTTTATAATATTATGATTTACAGCAATTAGCAAAAGATAAATCATTCCTCATAGTATGTAAGTTAATGGGAGTCCTCGCACAAGTAAGGTAAAGTTAAGGGGAATAAGGGATGCAGGAACAGGCTCCAGGTTAAAAAGTTCATTTTTTTCTATAGGGTAATAAACCAAGTGACTTTAGCCATTAGAATCCCTTGTGATCCTGGTTTCACTTCACTGACCACGTTCTTACACAACTTTATCCCACGTACAGTTCATTATGTTTTAACGACAGTTTTTCTTCCTCCAAATGTTCACCCACATACTGTAACCTCTGACGGGAATCAGGCATACAGTCACTTCTCTGAAATATTGGTCAAACGGCAGATGATCTAAACAGAAAGAATTTTTAACTCCAGTTTACATTTCGACATTTCTGCTGTGCCCTGGCTTTTGGTGTCTCACTGAGATTTTACGGTGAGAGCAGATTTCACACTTCCCTTTGCCATTTGCAATCAGTTTCACGCTCGCGTTCTCATGCATTAGCACAGAGCTATGCTATGTGTATTACCGGCACTACAAGGGAATGTTTAAAATACTCTTTCGATTGCTTTTGTTGACATACTTTTAATATCCTAAAAACAAACTAAAAGTATTATAAAGTTGTAACCGCATTGGTAAGACTCACAAGAGATATGTTGGTTGTATGCGTATATTCACCATTTTTATATGACCACTTCTAGCTTCACCCGTATATAATAATGCAGCTACATGTGAACTCAGTATGACTAGAAACTAAAAGTTTGGCACCTTTACATAGCGCCCACTGCTTTAGTAATTGTGTGCATGTACATTCTTCCTATGGGCCAAACCCTGAGAAGTGCCGATCACCTTGGGTACGTTTGCACTGTATTTGGGAGGTGTGATTCCCAGCGCAGGTAGACGGACTTGCACTAAGTCAGCTTGAGCTAGCGCACTGAAAATAGCAGTGTAGATGTTGTGGCATTGGCTGAGGCTGGGGCTAACCCCCCGAGCTCAGACCCAGGGAGGCAGGTGGGCTTGGGTGGGTAGCCCGAGCCATCACCTGTGCCCCAGCATCCATATTGCGATTTTTAGCATGCTAGCTCAAGCTGAGCTAGCGCCAGTTTGTCTGCCCGCACTGGGTGTCACACCTCCCAGCTGTAGTGCTAGCAAACCCCCTACAGCTCTCATTGCATTTAAGTTGGGATAGGTATAGAGACACACGTGTGACAAGTGCTGGACATTTAAGTGTAGGCAGGGCTGAATTAAGTCAGTCTGGGATCTTAGGCACAACCTACACAGACTTCCGTGGCACTGTCCCCATGCTGTTGCCCTGCCCCCACACCAGAGCCTCACCCCTCTTTGGGGTGGTAGCAGATTTCAGAGGTAAAGATGAATGGGGCAATTCACATCTCTTGGAGCTATTGTTTCAGGCTCTCTGCAGACTCAGGCAGGCATCAGTTATGGGTCACATTTGCAAGCTTTCCTTTGCCTCCATGAGGGCTAGAGAGATGATTTTTTAAAATGAAGGTGGAGATTCTGGTCTCACCGTGCAACCACAAAAGCTGGAGCCCTAAACATGGGTTTATAGTTCCTCCACCTGAATCCAGTCCAGAATGCAGGTATTCAGCAGGATATAGAGTTGAAATCTATAAAGCACTGATGGCAATGGAAGAACTAGGGGCCAGATTTTCAGTAAGGCACCAGAAAGACGTGATCAGCTCTTAAGAACAGCTCAGCATGTTGGGAGCTGAATACTTTTGAAAGTCTGGCTCTGATTTTGGGAGCTTAGCACTTGGAAATGTGGCCCCGAGCTCTTTTGGAATTCTGGCCCTATGCTTGCTTACAAGCTGCCTAATTTCTATTTCTATAAGCTGCGAGGGACGAGGGAATTCTTGATCTTCAAGGGTTCTTTCCTGCAGGATCATTCACGTAAATGGGTCTTCTGTAGCATTCACAGGGGATGTTTACTAGCTGACAAGCAGACTTCAGCTTCATGTTATTTCATCAATACCAAAGCATTAGTCACTTTGTTAAGTGGCCTCCGTCATTGTCATGTGCTATGTATGAGTTTATATGTCACTGACGTGGCGACAATCTGGAGTCAGTGCTGTAACCGTGATACCAGCAGGTGGTCCCAGCCAATGCCCCAGCACTTGCATAGCTGTCAGTAACAGTTAGCTAAAAGATGAGCAGCTGAAAGGATAGATGAGAATTTGTGTTAACTCTGTTAAGGCTTGTCCTGTTGAGTGAATTACTTTGTTTGTTTTCACTGGCACGTGTTGAGGTGACCCCCTTGTAGCAAAACTGGAGACAGAAATTAGCCTCTGTGTCTGATGATATCTTGCATGTGGCAGTGGCAATGAAAAAGAAGACGCAAAAAGTATGTTACATGAACGAGAGGTCTGTAAGGCAGTGTGCTTTCATGGCGTCAGTGTAATCCAGGTTTTATTATCTGGTGCAAAAGAGAGAGAACTGAAAGAAGGAGGAATAATGCTCTTATATATCACATTTCATCTGTAGATCGCCAAGCGTTTTACAATGGGCTCATTTCACTGATGGGGAAACTGAGGCACAGGGAGATGACGTAGCTTGGCAGAGTTCACCCAGCAGGCTGAGTCAGAGCCAGGAACAGAATGCAGGTTTTCTGATTCCTACTCTAGTACCTCAGCCAGGGACCATACTGCCTTTTGAGGAGGCTCTCAAAAGACAGGGCTTTGCTTTTCAGGAAAATGTGCCATTGATTAGCTTCCATGCCCCAGGGGAAATGATGTAAGAAACATTCCGTTATTTTATGTATTTTAATAATTTGTAACAAAAGCAAACAAAACTCAGAGGCATTGCACAGGGCAATACCCAGATAGGAGGATATGTCCAGCCGTGGGAGTGAAGTGAATGAAGTTAACATCAGGGATGGATTTGAACGACAAAGAACAAAAACCGAAGCAAAGCAGCACACAGCGGGCTGGTTCTGCTCTCATGCGACACACTGGGGTAACTCCATTGATTTCTGGGTAGTTACTCCTGATCTATCTGAAGCTGAGGCAGATCAGGCCTGTAAGCAATACTGGGCTTACAAGGACATTTCAAAGGACTCTAAGTCCTCTTTGTTCTTCTTTATCAGAGGGAATGATGTAGCCTGGAGACCGTCCAGCATTTGTGTAGTCATGTAGCTCTGTGATTGTTCCAGACATTAATCTTGTCTGTGACTGTTACACGGTAAGGGCCAGACTCTGCCTTCAGATGACACACATGATTTCAGTGGGAGACACCTGCACGAATACAAGGCCAGAATTTGGCTCTAAGGCTATTGAATCTAAGGCTATCACTTTCTGTATGTGACATTTACTCCGTGACATTTGTCAGGAGAGCGAAAACACTCCTTTCCCTGCCCGAATAGCAGCACTCTTTGCAGTAAGTAGTATGCCAGGCGACCTCACTGCCTTGCACATTGCGTATGTCAACACTGCAATAAAAAAACCCACAGCACGAAGTCTCAGGGCCCAGCTCTGCTGACTTGGGCTAGCAGGGGCTGGGGCTGTAGGGCTAAAAGTAGCAGTGTAGAGGTTTGGGATGGGGCTGGAGCCCAGGCTCTGAGACCCACCCTCCTCGTGCCCATTGGCTGACTGACGTTTAGAGGCTTTTTTTCTTTACCTGTTATTTTGGCAGGATTAGTGGGGAATCACTCCTAAGGCTACATCTACACAGCGTGCCTTACAACGGCGCACCACACCATTGTAAGGTGCGCTATGTGGCCGCTCTTTATCGCCGGGAGAGAGCTTTCCCAGTGGCAAAATAAGACCGCCCCCAAAGAGGGATGGTAGCTTCGTCAACGGGAGCGTGGCTCCTGCCAACAAAGTCCACACTGGCGCTTTTCATCACTAAGGCCTAGTCTTCACTTACTGGCTGGTCCGGCGGGACGCCCTCCGTGATCTGCGATTGGAACCCGGAGAGCCCACAGACTGCGCCCGTCCTCCTCG